CAGCTTCTATTACAATTTGCACATCAGATGGCGCTGTTGGCAAACGCGATTGAAGCGCCACTGGAAGGTAATTGTAGAGGACCCCACTTTAATCTCTTTCAAGATGGTATTGTGGCACTAATGCAGGCTGCCTCTAATTTTGTTGGGTTTCGCCATATTTACCTCTCTGATGCTTGAACTTCTTTTAGCTTCATGGCGTGGCTTGCGAAGATAATCGGAGTGGTTTAGTGATTATTCCACCCGAATTATACGTCGTTTGTCAGTGCACGCATAGCTAATCCGACAACGGAGGGCATCGGGGTGCTAGCCATGAATGCGGGGGGACTTGTCCTCCATTACAGCTTACGTGCTGTTCTCGCTCAGGATGGGGCACTGCAGAAACATTGTGTAGCTCTCACATGGGGATCAGATCAGCTGCGCTGTTGTGTGTGGGGGGCCATCAGAATAAATGTGGTAGGTCGTCGCCGGTATGGTCTTGCTGTGTCGATGCGGCACCATCCTACGATTTTAGCACATTGTGCAGTGCCAAAACGAGGATGCTGCTCAGTTTCGACACCGCCCTGGGCTGGTATTAGACCCAGATGGAGGTGAATTTTGTGTCTTAGCGCATGGTATTATGCCCGTGAGATGACTCCTAGGCCAATCAGCTCTTTGCTGCGCTTACACCAGAACCTCAGCACGTTGCCGTCTCGCCTCACATAAAGGGGACCTGGTATCGCTTCTATATGTACCCATGGGCGAGGTGGATGCCAGAGATCTCCTCTGAATTCCACTAGTATGTAGTGGAGCTTGCTGGAAATCCTTGTCTCACTACACCAAGTGAATGGTTGTCACCTTTTCCCTCATCTCGTCATATACGTAGAGTTGATCACTTTCAACTTGTATATGAATGGGGTGTACGAACGAGGTGCCAAGCGGCTCTACATTGGGATCACTAGCAGCCCATCTAGTCAGAAGGTCCATGATCTCTCAATCTTGGTGGCCACTGATCTTGTGCCCATCCAAGAATTGTGTTGATATTTCACGCCAGCTAGCACTAACGACGCCGTTTTTCTGTCATCTACCACTTATCTTTCAATGCTATAATCGAGGAGCCTGTAGAGAATGAATTACTCCATACTTGATGTACTCTGTGGAAAATTTACCTGACTGGCCGATCAAGACTTTATGCAATTCTTTCGCGTTAGTTTCGAGGTTAACCTTGACGAAAGTACGAATTTTCAGACTGATTGTGTTATCATGGGGATTTAATATCGCACAGGCAACTCCATTACCAAATGGGAATCTTTTTACATATCACTAACACGAACGGGGTGGCCCGAGGATTAGTCATGCCTTGTGCAACTAACAAACATGTGATGGCGGAGGCTATCCATAGAAATTAGAGGCACACCGTGTTGCGGCAGTAATCAGGCAACAAGCATGAAGCTATGTGCCTCAGCATCTGCTTCCCTTCGGCGGAGGTGGCACCCTTGAGGGGGAAAGGCAGCCCAATACGGCGTGGCGTGAACCCGCCGTGGAGCCACTGATGTCGACGGGCGGATGCACAACTGTAACGGCGCACGTGCCTGTGGTGTTGGGGTCCGCTGCCTGGCTTGGTGAGGCCCTGGTCAGGGTGGGCCGAGGTGGTTATCTCCCCCCTTCGTGGGATTGTGTCCGCAGCTGGCAGGGCGAGGGAAGCCCCGCCACATAGTCACCCGCTTCCTGAGGCATACGTCACTGACGGGTTTTCGTATTTCGATTGAACTCAATAGTAATGGAAATGTGTGCTGGTGTTGGTGTTGGTGGTTCTCACACGCAAACCATCTTCCCTGCACATATCGCAACCATCGCTGCCACAACCTCTCCCTATTTATTTATCTATTTGATTGATTGTATTTTACTAGGCTAGTCTTTTTAAAAAAACAAATAGCGACCAACAATTGACTATATTTATACTTACGATACAAGGTCTGCGTGACACGTTTCAACCTACTGAATTCATGAAGCCATTGCCTCCGGATGACGCCGGTTCCGGCTCGGATGATAAGCCTGAGAGGCGCACTCCTATCTTCACCGTCTCCGAAGAGGTTCAAGAACACTTTGTGCATCCAGATGACAGGCGATTCTTCGACCGCCACCCGTGGACACGCCGTATCCCCATCTTTGGTCCCTCTTGCGAAGGCTATGGTCCCAAGTGTGTGGCTGGCCTTCGTGTGGTCCACCTGCTTTGCAAGGGTATTGCCGATGATTTGGTACACGGACTTGTCTATGCTATGTTGGTGAACCGCTATCATGTTGCGGGAGATAAATACCAACGCCTGGCGACCTTATATAGTCTGGGATGGTCTGCAAAGCCCTTTACCGCCATGCTGTGTGACAGCCTTGCCCTCCTCTGCCATACGAAGAGGTGGTACATGGCCATTTCTTGTGTAGTAGGTGCCATGCGCGTCCTCGCCTTCGCTCTTCTACCCGTGGAAGAAGCCTCGGCTAACACTGCGGCTGTCCTAATCTTTCTTACTTCCTACTGCAAAGCCAACGTGGACATCCTCTCAAATGGGTTCTACAGTCGTCTCATGATCAAATATCCACATCAGGGTCCTGCGCTGGTTAGCTGGGCTTGGTGGTTTCTTTTATTAGGCGGTATTATATCATCTGCCTTAACAGGCCCTCTTGCGGATGCGGGAATTCCCCAAGTTGGGCTTTGTATCTCCATGGTTCTGCAGCTTATCACGTGCGTTGTTTTCATTTTCAATTTGTACGGTGAGAAGACTAACCGAGAAGAGCGCACCGAGGACCTGATGAACATGCATCTGAGAAGTCTCAAGGACAAGGAGCCGTTTGTTCCGGACACCACAAACGACGGAGACGTGAAGATGAACCGCAGTGGCAATGAGATGGTCCTACACGAGTCCCTCCAGGGTATCATAGAGGAGGAAATGGAGGGGCCACCAACATATGAGCCTGTGGTCAGTTGCTGTGGCATTTTCGAGTTTAACAAGGACGTCTTCATGGAAAACTGGAGGATGTTCCTGCACGGTGTCATTATGACATGCTCAGTGGTGGCCATGATCGTCTGCAACATCTTCGCTGACAAGTTGGGCCTTCTTATGGTTTGCATCGGTGTATCGGTTGTGCGTTGCGGGGCATCCTTCTGGGCCCTGCCGATGGCCATTGCCAAGGTTAACATATTCGGGTATCTTCAAACGCTAACTTTCATTCGTTTGCCGGGTGCATTAAATACGTTTTAAATGGCGAATGAACAATGTCTACCTGACGGCCCACATTTTTCTTACGCCTTCTACAACGGTGTTATTTCTATCTTGTCCAACGTTGGCGGCCTTATTGGAATTGTGTGCTTCTCTCACTTCTTCCCAAGGCTTTCATACCGCCTTGCCTTTATCTTGCCCACGCTCTCTATAATGTGCTCCTCACTCATCGACGTTTCGATTGCGAAGCGCTGGAACAAAAAGATTGGCATTCCCGATCATTTTCTATACCTTTTTGGTCACAGCATCATCGTAGAAATTTTAATGAAACTGCAGAGTATGCCGATGTCTGTGTTGCTATCGCGGTTGTGTCCGCTTGGGTTGGAAAGCTTGGTGTACGCACTGATGGCAGGCTTCTCCAGCCTCGGAAGAAGTGGCAGCACTACACTTGGAGCTGTTGTGATGGCGTACATTTGGCCTGTGAAGACAAAAGTCCCATGCGACTACAGCAATCTGCCATGGCTAGTTTTCTTTTCTCATGGCATCGTGCCGGCAATCACTATTCCTTTCGTCTTCCTGCTCATACCTTCCGCACACATTTGTGACAAACTTGACATTAATGGACGCGTGATCCTCAATGAGGTTGAGGAGGAGGACCTGAAGAAGGCGGAGAGCAAAGGCAAACGTCCAACTGGGGCCTCAGAGTAATGAGAAGTGGCCGCGTGGTGTGCACGGCTGCTCCTCAGCTACAGTGGCACAACCAGCTGGAGCAGCAGGGGTGAGAAGTGAATCCTGAAATATAGACATAATGCCCACATGCTTAGTTTCACTCTCCAGGTATTCCCTAATACCAGCAAGTAAATATATATACGCATAACTGGAAATTTTTTTCCCTATTTTCATATGTATGAGTTCTGGAGTGTGTGCAGGTATCCAGTGACTTGTATTGCGTGATATGTGACTTTGTTTTATTAATTTTGATGAAGAAAATATAAAGGTAATGCACCCTTTTATTTTGGTGCGTCCGGAGACAGTATGACGGAAATGCTCACATGATGTTTTTCGTTATTATTTTTTCTCAACTATTAGCCCTTTTTTGGATTAATGGTGTTTTTCTTTTCTGGTATAATTTCTTTAGTCAAATTGTTTGCCAACTTCTGAATTATTAACTTCATTCAACCAAACAGAAACACCGTGTGTTCTGTGTTAACTTGATACAACCTATTCCTGTGTAAGTGAGTAGGATAATGAGGACGAACATTTATTTCCTTTCCCACGCGCTCTTTCATTGGTATTGTTAACTTTTTTTCTTCCGTTGACCTTTTAACTATTACTAAGGAATACATTAATGCTTTTTAATTCCATTTCTTTCCTGCATTATTTAATCCATTATCATGTGCGTTTATTTCATAGATTGACATTCTCGTTAGCTGCGAAATAATAAGTATTAACCAAAATATTAACCCTATTTATGCTGCATGACTGTTTCTCAATAATTGTAAAAGCGCGAGTCTTCTGTTGAATTTTTTCCCTGTGCATAATTAATATCTTTCCAATAATGGAAACACAAGGAGCGAATGAAATATGAGCATATCTGTATAAATGTATAGATGTGCGACTTTCTTTGAGTTTACGTGAAACATGTAATCCCCCAAAAAACGAAGAATGGGAAACACACATTTCAAGCATCAATAATAGAGTTTAGATGTCCATGTGAATTGTTTCTCCGTCTGTTTTTGACCGATACATCGTATGCATTTTAAATAATAAACTTTCACCGATTCTATAAACGCTGGAAAAAGCTGTCATCTATAAAATTGGTTTACATTTTCCATTAAATTCCTTGTCTACCATAATAACTATATTGTTTTATGATGTGTGATGTGCAGCTGCTTCTTTCTGATCGTTCACGATGGGATAGCGTGCATAATTGTAATGAACGTTCTTTCGCTTGGCAACCAATCTTCCTCCCCTCTTCCTGTTGTAAGTAGCATAGGCGGACGGAGGCCCTAGTGTACATAGGCGTTATTCATGAGGCAGCTGATGACCTAACTGCTTTTGCGGGTAATCTGTGAGGGACGGTTCCCGCTCTATAGGTGCGTCATTGGGAGGACAATGTGGCTAGAGGCTGCTGCGCGCACGGCTGCCGCGGTATGGCGGATTGCCGCGACCAGAGTGTGAGGCGAATTCTGTGACGGATTCCCAGAGCTGAGGCTCCACATGCCTCTACTGCCTGCACCCAGGATGGTTAGGACATCGAGAAGATGGTCCTCTGAAACGCATTAAGGGCAGGTGTCCCATTGCAGGGTATATCTTTGAGACCGATGGAACAGTTAGTAGAAAGAGCTCTTTGTCGTCCTCCTGTTTCTGTTTGCTGTTCGCAGGCTCTGTCACTTAGCTTCTCTGCTTCCTGTTCTTAGCTTTGATATGTAAGTAAGGGGCGAAGCGGCTGGCAAAACACGTATGCAGTGGTCTTTTGTATCTTTGTAATCCAGGTGAAATTGGTGTTGTAAATAAATTATTTTGCCCTCAGGGATGTTGTGCGACATTTGTTGACTTGTTCTTTTGTTGTTCTATTTTACTGCCCGGAATTTATTTGTGGTGTGAAGTTTAACTGCCACCGAGGCCGGTTCACAATGGCAGTGGAACGAGGGCAGTTCTGGAGGCAATTAAAGGGAACCTGTTCCGTCGATAGTCTATTCTGTATTTTGGAATATCCTTTTTTTCGCTACATTGCTCCCAAAGGGGCCGATATTCTCGACCCTCGCAACTGTTCAAAGGGCAAGCTGGAAGTGAGACCTTGAAAGGTGAGGGGAGACGGTCCATGCGCACAGTGTGTGGTGGTACAGTGATTTATTTGCATTAGAGTCAGTGATTTGCTTCCTTTAGACGCATGAATTAGTGCTGTGGTTATGTCGTGTCTTTACGCATGATGCACATGGTAGAAGGGAGGTTTGGTAGTAAGACTTGTGCTTTTTTGTGGTCCACTCGATCAAACAATGCGATTGCAATGTCTATTCCACTTTGTCCTATGAAGGATCTCACATACGTTGAATAATTAAAAGCGACAGTAACCCAAACATGTCTATCGTTCCCAAATTCATTGATAATGCGGATGATGTTGTGCAAATCGCCATTGATGGGTTTTCTATGACGAATCCCGGCTGCCAACGCCTTACCGACTCAAACGTTGTCGTTGCGAAGGAAGTTAGTCCGACGCGTGTGGCGCTCATCTGCGGCGGCGGCTCCGGGCACGAGCCCGCGCACGTCGGATATGTTGCTCGCGGGTGGTTGAGTGCTGCTGTCTGTGGGAGTGTGTTTGCCTCCCCGCCGACTGCGCATGTGAGTGCTGCGATCAACTACCTCGCGAAGAAGCAAAGCGAAAATAACGGCAACAAGAACCCACCTGGAATTTTGGTGATAATCAAAAACTATGCGGGTGACGTGTTAAATTTTGAGTTCGCGATACAGCAGGCGCGGGTTCAGGGGATTCGTGTGGACTCCGTGCTTGCCGCGGACGATGTTGTCTTCGGGACCGAGGAGACATCGAAGCGTCGTGGGTTGGCTGGGACGTGTTTGTTGTACAAGATCCTGGGTGCTGCTGCCGCCAAGGGTGCGACGCTCGAGGAGTTGAAGGCTCTAGCGGGGCGCGTCTCACGCAACCTGCGCACCATAGGCGCCAGCCTCTCCTCTTGCGCGTTGCCAGGTGGCCCGCCATCGTCGACCATCCCACCTCAGACCGTTGAAATCGGGCTTGGGATTCATGGGGAGAAGGGCCTCGTGCAGATACCCTTCCGCGGCGCGCGTGCCCTAGTGGGGGAAATGATGAATATTCTGCTGGGGAAGGGCAGCGGTGTCGCTTCCGGCGTGGGCAGGCCGCGCACGACGGCGAGGATCGCCCCGCTGCCGCGAGGCGCGAGGGTCGTTCTTCTGGTGAACAATTTGGGCGGGACGACTGACATGGAGCTGAACGTGCTTGCCGCCCACGCCCTCCGCGGGCTTTCCTCCGAGGGGTTTGGGGTTGCCGCCGTGCACGTCGGGCGGCACATGACCGCGCTTGACATGCACGGCTTCTCCCTGACCGTGCTCGCGATCGAGGAGGCGGCGGACCTCGCGTTCGTG